ACTTGATGAACTATTGAAAGTACAGGACCTGAGCTCCTCCCATTCTGGTACATCACGAGGGTTGCTGCTAGCTCCTTCTAGCTTTTGGCTTCTGGCTCTAGTTCTAAGAACTCTTGAGATAGTCTTCATTTGTTGATGCAGAAGGGGTTTTTTTTTTTTTTTTGGACTAAATAGCAAACTTTACATCCATCTCTGCAAGGCAATGAACCCAGATAAAGCTGCAGACTGTGCTGAGCAAGCAACAACATGGATATGTTCAGGGAGCTAGAAGGCTGAGGAATGCTCTACTGACAGAAATCAGAAGGACCAGAAGGCGAATGATAGACAGCTGTTATTCTGGAGAAGGAGACCCTTCCACCACTACAGAACGACATCCTTTCTACCTGATACAAATGGTAGAGAGGTACTTCAATGCTCCAGGCAAACAGTGATCCACCAAAATAGTGAGTAGAAAGACGAGAAAGAAAAATAGCAATATTCTCTTGTTTCTGTGATCCTATCAGCCTTTGCAAAATAAACTCCAACCTTTGTCAAGAAATTTCCAGCCTCACTATTTACACTTAATCACATCTCATTGCACAGGGAAATAAGATAAAAATCCCAGCCACTGACTTGCTTCAAATAGCACCAATACCAGTCAAGGAAGAGATCCCTGTTCTAAGGTTACTTCAAGTTATACTGAAAATGCTGTTTGATATAAATAAGTCTTAAGAAGAAGATTAAAGGTAAGGATGGGTACTCAGATTCATTACTATAGGACAAAGGTATCCATCTTTGGTACGCTTGTATTGTATCGGCAATAATTACTCATTTTCACGCTCCCTCGACAATGCTAGAGAAAGCACTCTAGTCTTACTGAGACATAAGCAAGCTGTTTACCCTGGGACACTGGGAGGTAAAACTTAGCTATTTCTGTGTAACTCTGAAAAGCAAATACTCTTTTATTGTGTGGCAACTGTGCCTCATGCCCATACCTTAAGAAGTTAAGGCTCTTCTCTTATTTGATGGTATCCACATCCACTTCAATGCAGTGTCTTCACAAAACATTAGGATCAAATATGTTACAGCTCATGCTAATCAAGTATTATATTCAAGGTTAAGAACGCATTTTTATCCTATGCAGGTAACATCTCGCAGCAGAGAGTTACCTGCTGATGTTGCAAACTGGATGTCTTTGATTATTTCAGCATCCTCTAGTGATGAATAAACTCCCTCTAAAAAATAAAAATTTTTTCTTGAACTCTCAAGCCTCCTGATATCATCAAATGTTTGGGAATAGAAGCTGTGTGTGGTTTTGAAGCGATGTTAATTGCACACAGCAACACAAGCAAGGATTGATGAGAGTGCCAGGAGAGGGAGGGGAATTGTGTAATGCTATTGTGGGCCTCCTCAATACGCCATCACATGATCTTGATTAGTTTTCCTTTTTGAAAGTTTACAGAAAGCTGATTACACAAAGACAGCAAAAGAAGTGTGAATGAAGGTAGGTAAAAGTCTTTGTGGATACTTCAACTTACTTCAGTGCCAATTTTTAAAATGCATTTAATTTACACCTCCTGTTATCTAGCCAGCAGCCTGTGTGATTACCCAGACCAAGTCTCTGTCAGAGGTGTGGTTCAAAAACTTGAAAGACCTAAATTTCAGAAAGCCCTGAAATGATAGCTCAAGAATTCATCTTCATGCCCAGTAGCTATACTTCACTTTTTTCATCAATCAAAACATGCAACAAAAAAAGAAAGGACTATTTTATAAAAAATGGTGACACCCAGATGGGGGAGGGGGGGGCAGGGAGAGAAGGGAGGAGGTAGGCTTCAGAGACAGAAATCTTTTTTTCCCCTGCCCCCGTTTCAAAAGATACCAAACCCAAAATGCTTTACAGAGGCCAGAGGGAATCTGATTCCCTGCCACACCTCCCAGAGGAAGCCAACCTCAGCAAAACCCATGAACGCATTCACATTTCAGCAAGAGATAAAAGACCAAGTAGTTCCTCTTATTGACATACAAAGAAACACCCACAATATATTTCATGGAAAGTGTAAGAAGACGCATAGGATCTCGCCCTCTTACCATTTAAATAATGGAATGCACGACGAGAAGTAGGACACCAATAATTTCACTGAAAACAGACATTTTGATTTCTTAGTGAAGGACACTTGAGCAATACATTAAGCATTTTTTTTTTATTGCCACAATGGCTATTATCCCAATGATTTCCTCAATAGCTGACAGGTGCACTTATGTTTTTACATGCAATAAAATAAAACTGGACAGTTTGAGTAAGGGAGCAGATTCCCCAAATTGGCTGCAAATCTGCCTGGATAGTTTAGTAAAAACCTAGCTCAGCAGAAAGGTAAAAGTCCTTGTGCGTTTTCCTGTTTAAAGGTGCCAAACTGTAGAGAGCAGAAATGCTAGTGATTAAAAACAATATGTCCTCTTCCTACAGTCTGTGTATGAATACTTACATCTTTTTCTGCAATTAAGCCCAATAAAGCATCATCTTATTCTGATCGGTAAATGAAACAGAAATGGTTTGCGACCAAAACTGGTTTTGATATTTATTATATGTTGAAACTTTATTCTGCTATTATGTACGAAATATTCATAAAAGTATAAAAGATACTTCAGAACCACAACGTAATTAACTTCTGTGACACAAAGTTCCACAAATGAATTCATCTTCTGCTCCCTGAGTAAAAAAGAAATGCCGGTGATTCAGTTTTCCACAATACATCAGGAAACAATAGCAAAAATTGGCTGTGCAAATGTTGTCTAAATTTTGTGCAGTATCGCCTGATTCTTGGCAGTTGAATACTCAAGGCCCAGGTCTAGAATCTGTTGCAGAGGAAGAAGTCCTGAAATGGTATTTTTAAAAATAAAAGCCTTCTTAAGCAACATGCTAAAATAACTAGGTTAAATATACCCTCTTAATTACATCGTTCACTCCAGGGAACACCAGGGCTACGAAAGACACGAGGTGTCAGACGTTGCACTTAGCACATGAAAGCCAGCAAATCACCTTCACGGGAAGGAAGGAAAGGAAAACACATGGTGGAAGCTCTAAGATTATGAGTGAACACAAAATCGTGCAGAGATAAAGAATCCAACCCTGCCATTTCTCTCCTCACTAACTGCTTTACTCTCAAGACCCACCTTCACTGCCTTTTCCTGTTGCCCTGTTCCCTCTTCTGCATGTTTCTGTCTCTCTCCGCTTTCCTACAGGGCTACCCAGTTTGTGGTATCAGCCAGCAGAAACTAACTTGCACCTCAGATGTAAAAGGAGAAGCTTAAAACTAGGGTCACAGAGTGCTCTAAAGATCAGGGTTTTAGTCACGTTCACTTTTACAGTTATTACTGTCAAACATACAAAGGAACGAAGAAAACTTTAGAGCAACAGGCAGGGCGCAAGCTGATCTCTACTCAGCTGAGGTAATGGATGAAAAAAAAAAAGAGGAAGCAAATTTAGAAAAACAATGAATTTGAAAGTAAGGGATAAAACTAGTATAATACAATCGTCACAGTGGAAATAACGAACAGCCCATATGACTTCCTGGGTCAGAGCAGTGCTTGAGAGTGTTAGGGTCCCTCCCACTGACTGATCTCTGCCTCTGATTTGCCTTGCACACACTTGGATAAACTTTAAAATGCAGGAACACTAGCTTATTTTGCTAATTTTGAACTGTGGAAAAAAAAAATCCAGTGAGAGTGTCTATACATATGACTGATGGAAATCAAACCTCCAAAGTGCAGATTATTTTGCTTAAAGCTAGAATATCATAGAAGATGCATGTTTCTGACCGACAGTTTCCATTCTGATCTTCAGCTCTGTGGTGATGAAAATACATACAAGTGTCTCTGTTCAGCTCCCATGCTGAAAGAATTACAAACTGTCTTTCTTTAAGCAGCAGTTGGGACACTACTGACCCTAAGCAACAAAATCCCAATATAACGCAAGTAGAACGTAATGCAAAATAGCACTCGGCTTCTCTATGTTGTTTTTCATTTGCAGAACCCTCAAGAGAGTCCACAAAGCATTTCCAGTTCGAAAAATGTTCAGAGCAGCTTCAGAGCTGGGAATCTCGTCCACATCCTCCGCTCTAAGATCCTATTCACTGAACCACACTGTACCCAGTATTTCTATTTTTAATGATACACGTGCATGAAATAAGGCATCATCAATTTTGCATTAGGTATGCGAGCATTCTTGCTGGTGCGTCTCACTTTTGGGCACCAACTGAAGGCTTCACAAGTAAAAGCAGGGGAAGCTTTGTCAGGCAGCTAACAGGAAGAAAAAAAAAAAGCCCTGTACCAGGTTTCCATTTCCATAATTAATTACCTGGTAAATATAAAAGCACTGTTTCTCATAAAACTATCTCATGCATATGACAGAGGCAATTAAAAGGGGTGGGGGTGAGAATTCAGATAATAAAGCTACTGACTATTTTTTTCCAGCACAGCTTAGTTTTCTTTAAGGAAGACCTAATTTCTAGTAGCTTTTAAGATGCACACATGAACTTGCAAAACATATTTCACAAAATCTACTGAACAAGTCTCCAAATTCTAGGAGATGCAAAACACATCACACATCACCTTCACCCCTTCCACTGAATAAACTCAGAATTGTCACAAATACTAAGATGGGAATATAATGTGTCTTAATAACTACATCACACATTTGTTCCCACAACTCACTCATTTTATTGCATCTCTTGACCTATATTAGTGAAACGATGCAAGAATTAAGGCTTTTAAACGTCTTCAACGGAAAGCACTGTTTTAAAATCTGATGCATTTTGGCAGTTTTGAGTGCAGCAAAGTCAAGCCCATCCAACCTCCAGGTTTAGCATGGCGTCTGACTGCCTCTCATTCTGCCCAGAGTGCTTTCTATCTAATACTATTTAAACAATGTGAAAAACTGTACCTTTAAATTTCATATAATTGTAGCTATTTTATATATTTTTTATATATATATAACTGAACTACATAAAACTAATCATTTACCTGTTTGTCGCGTTTGAAAGAACTTTTATTCTTTTGTGTTCTTCAATCTACTCTTTAGAGAAACTGATGTTTTATTTCACAGTTTAAATAACTGAATTACTTGAACCTCGCAGGCATGAAAGGGGAAGGAAGGAAAGAAAACATACATCTCGTGATCATTTTAAGCTCTTCTTCCACAAACTAATGTGACAGTATGACTTAAAACTACAGAAATCCGAAATCTACTTCTGAGCATTTGAAACTTCACATCTTTGTGCATCTCTAAAGAAATATTACTCAGGTTCAGTATGACATTTTGAAATGTCACCAGCATTGTCTCAAAATCAGAAGTTTTAAAACAGAACAGACACCTACCTGCTTTAATTTGGAAATCCATTCTACATGTAATATGATATTCTAAAACCCTCTGTATATATCCTTTCCCATCCTTAGTTTAAAAAAAAAAAGGCCACTCACTTCAGGAACCTCTTTCCTGTCCAAATAATCAGGGAGCGCTAAAATCAATGGCTTAAGCCATTTTCTGAGAGCCTTTTTATTACCCTGATATAGCCACAAACTTTGAATCATAAATATTTTTAATTAGGAAATATTTTCCCCTGAAATAAACTTCTGCCACATCAAGAAAGTAACATTATTTTCTCTGTAAAGGCCTTTCAGAGTAATTTTGTTTGTGCTGGAAGGTGAAAGTCGGGTTCACTCAAACTCCACATTTCATCCATTTGCAATATCAGAAGAATTGCACTCACAGGAGACCTCCCAGTCACAAACCTAGTTCTCCTTCTAGCACAATTTGATAGTCATCAATATCAGTATTAGGCTTATACAAGTATGCAAACAATTTTAACTTCTACATATAGGAATAAAATTCAGCATAGGAATAAACACATTCTCTACCTTACTGCTATATTTGTAAGCAAAATAACCCCTAGATTGTTTGGAGAGTTTTAAATGACTACTGCACATAACGTTCATTTTGGAAAGTGCCTATAAAAAGCATTCCTCTGTCCTTTTTTGTTAAGCCTCTTGATTTGCTAAATTATCACCGACAAGCACGTCACACATTTGTTTAAAACATCCTCTATAGCAAAGAGCCACTTTTTACGCCTAAGAGTGTGCCAATACACTTGTACATCTGAGATGCAGATTTTCCTAAATACTGAAAACAGAAAACCACCAAAATGAAAGTCATCATCAGCGCCATAAATAAGGATTTGTCACTCAGATGTCATTCACCATAGAAGGAAGTGAAAAATGCCTTAATTATCATACCACAAATAAACCAATACTGGAAGTGATGATCAAAACCGCTCATCAGCTGATAGCTATCCAGCTATCAGAGCAAAACACACAAGGACACAGAATGGAAAGGACTTTCCCAGTCACTGACTCCCATGGCGGCTGTCACAGGCAACCAGCTCTTACCCTTATCATATATTAGTCTTCATATTAGCTTATTCCACAGCCCCTAAAACTCTTTGGAGAGGAGTAACTTGGTTTGAAAAAGCTCAATAGTTTTCCTTGACATAAGTTTATTAATAGCTAGTTCATACTGCATGTTTCTCTCTGCCTGAGTTGTCCTTAACATTAATATCTCTTCTTCCCATTCCTGCAAGTCTTCTGTCATACACAAATATTCCCAACAGCGACAGCGAATGCAGCAACAAGCCATTTTTTGCCTTTTTAAAACTATGCTTTACTTTGTTCATTGGATACACTTCGATTCTAAACTTAGAGGAATGTGTGTTTATTTGCCACTTTCCATGAGCACTGAAATGAATTTAGTGAGTACTAGTTTAGACTCTGACCAGTTTAGACTGAATCTGTTTTTTCAGAAGTTACAGAATTTCACACTGAAGAAAAACATGTAATCAAGCCACAGTGCACCTTCTGTTACTACTGTTATTCACACAGCAAGGCAGTGAAAATAAAAGAGAATGATTAAAATCAGATATTAAAAATCAGATATAGTTACAATCAGATAAAGCAAAGATACCATTTTTGTAATGTAGTGCTTTTGTTCAGACACATCTTTCTACCAGCTTTATGTAAATAAACACAAAATGTATTTACTTAAGTATTAGTAAATGTTTTCCTTCTGTCACTCCACCAAACAAAGATTCTTATTTAGCTGGAAATAAAGACAGACTCAAACTTTATTTCATTTTTTAATAAAGTTTAAATAGTTAAAATAAGAGGAAAGAGTATGTTTTAAAGCCAAGCTTTTTATTGTTTGTTTCATGCCAGGCTTTAAAAGTTGGATTTACTAGCAAACATGGGCCATGAGAAGAGAGCTGCATACTTAAAATGCTGGTGTAGAATATGCTAAAACAGGCAGTGACTTCTCCAGTTTACCTTAAAACAAAGGAAAGTCTTTATAGTTTTTCTTTTTTAAATGCACTGCCTCTTATATTTATCCTGGATATCAGAAAATTGTCCCTATGAAAGGCTTTTTTTCCTTCTAAATATGAAGACTCTACAAAATATTTGCTTTATCCATTGGCAGTACGTTGAAATTCTCCAGAATATTTAGATGTGGCTGCCTATGAAAGTTTATACATGCCAATCCAACCCTGTAAAAAAAAATCCAGAGTTGAAAATTAGAATAATTCAACCAAATCATCCCTCTAAAAGAATATTATATTTCCATCCTTCATTACACAGATCAACATATTTTGTTTCATTTTAAAAATTCTTCATGACCTGCAGAATACAGCATGTATTTATTTCACTGTTACTTTTCTCCTTCCATTGCCTTAACGCTTTTTCCTCATTTACATTTTAAACACCATTGGTTCTACTGACATTTTTGTGCCCTTGGGGCTTTTCTAGCCTCAATTCTACCCTTGCCCAAAGAAATCCTTTCCTCTTCTCCTTAAAGAGCTTTTTGATGGATTTGCTTTGATTTTCATTTTCTTCTTTTTCAGATACAGGCAAGTATCCTACCATAAAGGCAGTGTGGAAACAAAACAGAATGGCAGCAGAACATTTGCAAGCCCAGACTCACCAAGAACTTCAACAGCTACTCTTTCTCAAAGCAAAAGGTCCTATTTTCTTTAGAAAATGTAGTTGATAATATGTTTACTATAAACATACTCTTGTGCCACAAACAACTGAAAACTGTAGACAAAGTAATATGGCACACAGTTTGATGAATTTAACATAATGTGAAAAAATGGCAGAATCCTAGTAGCAGCTGTAACAGTAAACAAACATTTAAAAACCAAAGCAATCCAATAACCTAAAAATACATCTGCTAAATTAAGGGAAAAAAATCTATGCAATGAGATTATAAGCTTTTAAATTTCAGACTGATTGCCCAGGGACCACAGTAAAAAACTAAACTCAGATGAAAAGCAGTATTAGCTTGGAAAAGCCTCAGCTTTCCAAAATTCAAAATTATTAAAAGGAATACATCTTTTCATCATACTATGATTTAACTGTTTTCTAGTCTATGGGAATAAACAGCAGGATACAATAGTTTGCAACAGCCATTTACTTTTTTTTTTTTTTTAAAACTAATTTAAGAAAATAGTCTCACAGAAAAAAAATTAGATGAGCACAAAGAAATGCCATGACAAATCCTGAGACAAATTATCCTACATCGTTGCTATTCTATGAAACCGGTTTGAATAATAAACATACTGGAGTATACTAAGTGACTGCATACAAATCAAAAGTATTTGTAAATTATTAAGTTGTGCATGTTTTTAAATGACAAAACATGCTCATGGGTTTACTTTAAAATCTCTCACTGCTTGTTATCAAAGTTAAAAGATCATTTGCATACCAATACACATACTGTAAACATGAAATTCTCATTAAGGAAAGATGGGTTTACAGTAATTTGATCTTTTACAAAAAGCTATTGGTAACTGAATCTCTCAGTGTCTAACTTTCTAGAAAATTAAACCAATGTTTCCACTCTCAAAGTTGAAACACTACCGCTTTAGGAAATACCCCTGTTTATTTGTTAATCAGAAATACAATCAAGTGACATATTTCCATTTGCTCTTCAGGCTGACAGTTTCAGCTTCATTCTATTTTACAAGAAAACAGCAGACTTGCAGAAGTCCTGTGAAGTCTTTCATATCGCAACTGAAGTTTAATTACAGCAGTGAAGAAAAGCAGTGGTGATGCAAAGTAAGATCAGCCCAATTGCCCCTATCTGCTGATAGGATCTCTCTTCCTGTTTGGCTCGCAGCAGTGAGGACTTCTTGTTTTGTTTCGTTTTTTGTTTTTTCTGGTCGGACTGCCTCCATCAAGACCGACAGAAGCAAAAAGTTGACATGCCCTTATAATTCGAGCTTGAGAGTGATCCTTATACCAGTATAGCTGAGTTTCAATCAGTAGGCCGGGGAATGATACTAATGTGAAGAAAATTATCTGGATAGCTCATATGTTCGCTTAGCCACTGTATTGGTGTTTCCAGCATTGGCTCAATGCCGTGAATCATCACTTGAGTCTTCTTTTCTCCATCTAATTCAAAGAAAAAGAGAAATCACTAATTCCTCATTCAAAATTCACAGAAGGATTAAGCATATAGTTAATTTACAGTGGATGCAACTGGTGTTACAGAGTTCAACATGAACAGAATGAAAAGCAGGAAATATTGGTATGGAGAAAGCTGAGAATTTTCTCATCTAAAACAGAAACCTTGAGTTAAAATTAATTCCAAGAAAAATTTGGTTAAAACAAAACTTAATGAAAGTGCCACTCTGCTTTACTACTTGCAGCTTCTTTCCTACAGCTTCCTGTTAACCTAGCTAAGGCATATCTATCTCTCTCAGTTATAGCCATATGAGGTTTGTAAAGATCCTGCTTCAGACGTTGAGCTTCTTAAAAATACAACTTCAGGAGCAAGGTTTAACACTTTATGTGTAACACAGCTTTTTCCACAGAGCACATGTAGTATGTCACGATATCTATCACCAAAAACATGTTTATTCCTGAAGTGATTTTATTTGGCTATGCATTACATACTTAATATTCAGCAGCATTACTGAGAGTAACTCAAAGGCTGAGTTGGCATCAACTTTTTCTCACTTACTCTCATCTCGTGGAAAAGCTATGCTAGTAAATGATTTCCAGTATGACAAGAATATATTCTAAGAGTATTTAAATTCTTTTTATTTATACTTGTCCCGAAGGATGCAATTACTTTGATCCTTTGGTTTAAATGATGGGAACCAGCTAAAGCAACTGAAATAACTATCACAAAATGAACTAAAAAAAACCCAAAAAACAAAAAATGAAAATTTATTTCAGAGTCTCGAGAGGAGAACAGCATTTGAAATATGCTCCAAATAATAGTTAGGGGGAAAAGAAAGGAGACAGTGACCTTTTACTGTTTTTGTACTATACTCGGGCATTCTCACACGGACCTACCACAGTGAAATCCGCAGTTAGTGCTCAGAAACATTATGGCCTTCCCTAACTGGCATTTTCTCTCCCCTCTCCCCGAGAAGCGAGGACAGTACACACCAGATGACCGTGCTGCCCAACAGCTGCACCAAAGGGAGCAGAATCAAGGAACGACTGGACCATTACTGGCTCTTTCATTCTGTTGCCCTAGTTATAACATAATTCTTATTTTACAACACAGATAAAATCTGACTCATGTTTGGTAAGCAAAATGATTTGGCAACTGTCTGAAGAAGTTTGTTTTGTAAATGTGTATCTATGCCAGCACAGGCTAAATCATATGAGGGACAGTTACCCTTGAATCTTCCTTCTGTTGGCTTCATCCTAGTAATAAACTCCTCCTGAAGATACAAACAGCTATGTTTGTCCAAAATGTAGCAATTTACATTAGTTATATGCTATCTGCATGTGGTATCATATTCTCTACAAACCCTTGATTAAACATATATAGCTTGATTCTATAAATAACATAGCAGGCACATTATCACACTGAATTAAGCATAAACATTTTATTACAGACAGGTCAGAAAATGGACCACTGTTATTTGAAAATAAACTATTGGTATTTCAAATCAACACGGATATTTATTGGTCTGAAAGTTTATCAGTCGGGTTGTCAAAAATATAAAATCCGTAAGACAGAGATACTTTGCAGTAATCAAGTTTTGCAACAAGTACTTAGGTCACATCTAAATATTTTTTAAAATAAAGCAATTGTCCCAAAATTATTATATATATGATTATATTATATATATTAAACATATATTTCAACTCTTTTCAAATTAAAGCCCATACATGGTATTCCATAAATTAACCAAAGTTGACAGTCATTTACATTTCATATTAGTAGTTAATTCTTGGAAGCAAGTAATTTGCATAGGAGGCAGAAAAGACAGTACTACTCCCTGAATTCCTTTTAGAGTGATTTTGCCACTTCATAACCTGCTGGAAAAAGCCTGCATAGTTTAATGAGGAAATAACTTTAATGAGAGTCAAATATCATCCCAGGAGGACAGAATTGCACTCTACATGCCAATATAAAGGATATACTGCTGCAAAATTATCTGATCATGCATCAAACAATTTGTACAATAATTTAGACACATTAGCCTTCAAATTCTTTTCTGAAGAACTTATATTTTTCCACTTCCTCCAGCTTTGATATTCGAATCATACCCCTACATATATCTTGTTCCTACAGCTGTGTCATTTGTGAATTTAATAAGAACACTTATTAATGGGCTGAGTGATAGAAAGAAACAGAGAAGTCTGCTCAGGATAGATTCTTTAGTTCTTTTTTCCTTTTCAACAGTGAATCATCATTGGTAATCATTCTTTAGGTAGAAGTTACCTCCTGAATTTTGTACCTCCAGAGGTGTAAAAAAAGTTTTCAAGAATGTGAAGAATGTAGTGCCAGAAATTTTACTTAATTCAAGAAATATCTACTATTTCTCTTTTATCATCAATACCTGCAGCCCACTGAATATAAAAATAAGATTAATTTGAAACTAGTCTGTTCATGTCAAGTGCATATTGGCTATTACTCATGTCCTAGTTAACTAACCAATGTTTATGAACAGTTAGTCTAGGTTCAGATTACATCATATCAGCATTAGTACTGTGCTAGCCACCTGTACACAGTTGACTGTTCTCAGTGAAAACTTATGCAAAAACAGATTAAATGCTTTGGAACTTCAGTATCATCTTGTTATTAGAAGAAAAGCTTATAAACACTTGCCTTGATTTTTCTTGTATTTTCTGACAATAATTTTTATGGGTGGGTGGGTGGGTGGGGGTGTACACTGATTTGATGCTTCTTGCTTGCAAATGAAATGCCGTTTATCTGGGTGTTCCCATTCCCCACTCCCCCCCCCCCCCCCCATTTTATCTCCACTTTCCCATACAAATGTTTTATTCTACTCCTCAGCAACCTGAGTAAACCTCAGAGGTCAATGAAGAGTTTATGGTTTAATTAAAGTCTACATCTCTGCACTAGTGTTGTTTGTGCCTTTGTATCATCTCTGACAAGGCATCGCTTCTTAAGTCCTTTTCCCCTTGAGGCTTGACTAATAAGTTCTTATCTACCAACTCTGTATTTACTGTAGCCTTCTTTCACAAAACTCATTCTTTTTACTTTTAGTATTTTCTCCTCCTTTTGTTATTAAGGACCATAAACTCTCACTCTTAAAGCCACATTTACCCAAACTTTTTTCAAATTCCATGTTTTCAATAACTTTCCCATTTTGAATCACATCCAGAGGTTCTCTCTGATAAATGGCTCCTCCACTTTACATAGCAAAAACCTGTCAACAGCCATGCGTTAGAAGAATTTGCTGGAAAATACTCTCGTTTTCTCAACAGGTGCCTGCCTAATTAGCATCCACCATTACCACTATCATCGGGGTTCCGGATGATTTGCTACCTGTTCATGAAGCTTCATTCATCTGGTTTACATCTACAATAGATTTGCATCATATTTTTCATTATTGCTTGTAAACTTTTGGGAGTTGTAGCTCACTTTGTATGCATCTTGTCACATCAAGAGTTTTCCTCTTTCTCCCCAACGCATACTCTATGATAATACAAACTGGAAGAGAGACTGACAAAATGCTTCTATAAACTAAAAGTGTACAAGCGGCTAAACAGAAAATATACGAGGGGTGTAAGATTTAAATGACTTAGCTACAATGAAGATTAATATCGTATCATTGGACCAGGTCTGTAAAAATAGGGAGAAATAACTCTGCTCATCTGTTGTGCATGGGGTCCAGACTTGAGATGATCATAACTGTCAGTACTCATTTTCACAATATTCAGTAATGTAGTAAGACCCAGGATTTTCTTGAAATCAAGGAATTTATATTTTCCAGTCACCCCATTGACTTTTTTCCTTCCTAAATCAAAACAGAACTGAATTACAAACTGGCTATCATATGACCTAAAGATGGTTTCTTTTACTCTGTTGCAAACCGAAGAGGAGGATAATGAAAACATCAGAAAAATAAAAGCACGGTAATGAATATTCCATAGAAAATTTTATAATGTGTGTACATAGTAACCATTTACTTAAGATCAAAGCATTTGTATATCATAGCGATGCACAAGTTATAAATACTGCTTCAGCACTTACAAGAAAGCCTCAAGACCTATTACGTCAACCCCTGTCAGGGTGGATGTCCCAGGCTTAAGTAACTTTCCTTTGCTTTTGCTGGGAAAATGCATGAACTCGGAAGCTACTAAAACATAAACCTCTGAAAAATCACTTGTGGCCTAGGATGAGCGGAAGTTATAAGACTTGTTGCCAAAACTTCACCATCTGCAGGAGGTATAAAACTATGCTTACATGTTGTGTCTTAATACATTTTGGGGACATTTCAAATCACTTAATTTAGACACCCTAACTTAAAGGTTGCGACAGTTAAAGTAGGCACCTGAATCAGACTAACAAATCAGACTATGTCAGGTCAGAAGCCTTCCAACTCTCTGTATAGAAAATGGTGAGAATCAGGCATCTGCTTAAACACTGTGTTTCCAGCAGATGTCTTCTTCTCTATCATCTATAAAGGTGCCTCAGCGTTCCTAATCAGGAAACCACCTCTATCCCAGCAATAGAAAATGCAAGTGCCTAAGAGTAGAAGAGTGGGAAAGGACTACTTCTGGCAAAGGTGCATATTTCAGCCATTTTTTTCCCCCCAGATTAGCCCCACAAGGCTCAGCGATGCTGCAGCTACATGCTCCCTTTCACCTGCCCAGATCAGCTTCTCTAGCCTTTCCAGAATCCTTGGAGGGGACGCCTCCCTCCTGGTCTGTGGCCTGAAGCAAGCACCCGTCTGGGCAATTTAGCTTGTTCACATTCTTTCCCTGATGGTCACTGCAAGATATCCAGGATTTTGCAAAAATTTCCCTGGAGTGCTTCAGTGAGATTCCTCAATAGGCAAGTCCTCCCTGTAACTAGTGCCAGAACCTCTCTGCAGTCATCCAAACAGATGACGCAGAAACTACAGCTCCTTATTCAGGAACGCTAAGGACATGTGAGAGGGTAGACGTGTTCTGTG